ATTTCTGAGAGCAAAGAAAAAACATGGTGTCTATTATAATTTTTTTTCTAAAGGATACTATAAAAATACCTTTTTACCTTTCCCTATAAATCCAGTAGTAGATCCATGACTTAAATTTTGCAGTAATACCAAAATTTTTACTTTTGTTTAACAAGCACTATTAGAATTTCCTTTAAGTTACTGCAGTTGCTCATGTTTTCAGATTGTTAATTGAAAAAAAAAACCACTGCCTGCAAATGCCTGCAAAAATAAAGATTGATCAGATGGCTATGGATAGAGATCACCTGTGTGGAAATCCCAAGTTATCTTATGTATTTATTAATTTCTAAAGGCTTTCTTTGGATTATTGATTTTTGTTTTTCCTGTTTGGAACCATACGTGTTTTATGCAGAATTTCATTATTTTCCCTGCTGTGCCCTTTCTGCTGAAGATGATGAGCATCAAAACCAACACTCCAGCCTCAGGTCTCCTGCCACCTATAGCTCTAAAGAAAGATGCCAGGAGAGCAGGGCCAGTGTTAGAGCCCCCAGCACCAGAGATGTCCTTCCAGACAGTACTCCCAAGGCTATCCCTGAAGGGATTGCACATGGTGCCCTCCTGGAAGAGCAAAAAGTGAAGTCACTGCAGTATGTTTGCCTTATGAAAGAAATCTATAATTACTCCTTTTGTTTAAGCTATTGAGACTTGTGTGATATTTTTAGTAGGAGTCCTGGGAACTTTAGGAACTGTTTTTGTTTTTTACTTGTGTGCAGAGGAAAACGGGGGGATTTATTTCTGTAAGTTCTCGTGGGCCAGATGCTGATGAAAAGGCAGGAAAATCAAGAGGATTATAACTCCTTTATATACACACATCTTTTTATATTCTAATATTCTTATGAACGCAGTAGTAGGACATCTAGCCACGGGTTTGGGCTTTTCCCTCTTTCCAGTGCACAAAATCAGGGTATCCCACCCCCCAGCTTCATCTCAGTGTTCCAAATGCCCAGACCTGCCTGATGGACAGATCAAACTGTATCCTGCACACACTGAGCCATTGCTACAGGCTCTCACATCCAGGTAAAATACCTGGCACTTTTGGTGTGGAAGTAAGAGCATTGCATGAGAAGCAGAAAGTCTGGAAGACAGCAGGGCTTTCGTCCATGTAATGGATGAAAGCAGGGCTGGTAAAAGCCGCCACATTCACTGCAAACTGCATAAAACTCCAGCACAGAGTCGATTGCACATCTAATACTCAATGTGCAGGGCTTGGCAAATCTTGGCAACAAAGTGACTAACTCACTGGGAAAAACAGGGAAAAAAAATCAGTGGTAGAACTAAACTCCAAAGATTTTTCCATACGAAAATTCTAGGCAGCAAAACCATCATGTTCAGTGCAGCAGGCAGACGTTTTGTTACATGCCTATAAAATACATACTCCTGTCAATTGGCAGCTTTGCATTCCAGGCAAGGCTCATCCCCAAAAGGTGAGGTCAGTACCCGCCTCAGAAGCTGCTCATGTACCAGAGAGAATAAAGAAATACACCTCCTCTCGGGAAGTTTAGAGAAGTGGCAGAAGCACGTGGAAAATCCAAATAAAATATTCTATTTTGTAGACCATTTTTCATTTGTGTGTATATACATACATATATTTATTTATTTTTCAGGAATTGCACTTTTGTGCATCACAGAAAATATTCTGCACATGAGCTTTGGAACTGAGCAAATTGTAATGCAGAACTGCATTTTGATGGTCCTTGCTGAACACTGAATGAGACCAAAATCCAAAGTTAAAGGAAAACAACCACTACATTTGAAAACTCCTATCAAACTAGATTTACTTTTAATGCTACAGGTCATGAACCCCCTTTTCAGCCTCATCATTCTCTGAATTACCAGATCACAATGTAAACAATTATTTTAAGTGCCTGTAAGAATGTGAGAATCCCCTCCCTAAGAAACGCCTCTGCTTTGATGATTCAGATTGCTAACACCGCTTGGGTTTATGTTTTCAAGAGTTTATAAAAGCACTTCACTAGGCAGCTTCATCATGGTTTCTGATGACAAAGCAGTTTATCATTATCAGAGGCCAAAATTCAGATGTTCCTGTTCTATTCAGCTTCAATCCAGATGAACGTAAACACAAAACAATCCAAAGACTGCTTTTGTTTTTACATAGGTAGCATTCCAGCTCCAGACAGCCTTGAAAAACTGCAGAGCAGGATTCAGTCAACATTCTCCTCATCGAGACTGAATCCCTTCTGCTCATTCAGACACTCCTGCTAAGGTCTGCACAGCAAGCTCCCTTGTCCCGAACAACAGGAAAGATCACGGCACTGCTGCGGAGGGGTTGTCGATACTGGATGTTAATGAGCAGCAAAGCTGCCTCAGCATTTGCCAACTGTAAACCATGTGCTCCTTTCCCTTGCAGAGAGTCTCAAAGGAAGAGGCAGCTAGTTTGTAGTCTGCTCAGGTATTTCTGCTATGCACCTCAGCCAGCCAATGTGAATCATCTTCTGACAGACAAGTACTGCAATCTCCAAAAAACTAAGTTGCAGGCTACTTTATGGGAAAGGAGTAGGTCTTGTTTCTGGTAAGAGTCATCACACACACAAAACAATGGTCAAGAGTGAGAAATGCAAACAAGAACAACAGATATACCTTGTGCCTCCAAGAAATTTTGGTGTTAGGAATAAGTGGGAAGCATGTTAGGATTCAATGACATGTAGCACAGCCAGTGATCACTGGTGCAGTAATGCAGTCAATGCAGTTTGGTTTTGGGAAGCTCTAAGGGGGAGATAACAGCAGAAACATGTATCTGCATCATTTGACATGTGGGCCAGATGAGCTCAGCAAAGCCCACTTTGGCTATGACAGCCACACAAACTGCAGTCCGGCCTGCATGGAGCATTCTGGACCCACTCAGGACACAGGGATGGCACAAGTCAGAAACTCCCCAGCCCTTCAAGCTCTCCGCAGTCTCTCAATGCCCTTTGCAAAAGCCAGGACATGTTCAAACTGCTGCTGCAGAGGTGAAGCAGCCCTGCCATACAGGACAACAATCAATTCCTAGTCAATCTATAAGACAACAATAGAAAAAAAGGTAAAAAATACTCTCCCCATTTCTTTCCTTTCCTGATATTTTGCACTATCCTGTCACTGTACTGACATATTCTCTGTGTTGCCTCTTTTTATTGGTAAAAGGATTTGCTCTGAGTTTTAAGAGACAAGCCAGAGCAGTTCACATAGCGAAGCCAGTAGCCAGCAAAGAAACATTTTCTCTAACTGTACTTTTTTCAGACTCGATCAGGTACTTGATCTGGTACATGAACATCAACTGTGACTTTCATTTTTCTTGTATCATTTGCAGTGGCAAAGGTCTCAAAGGTCAAATTATGCCTCCAGATACACACACAGTTCATATTCCGCCCACAAATGATACAGGGAAAAACTCAGTGGGGATAGGGGAAATGGTGCAATGTAACAAGCTGTTCTTTGTTATTTTCTTGGGCAGTGTGCAAGGCTGGAAGCCAGAAAGGCTATTTTAACTAGGTTTCTTACAAGATCTTTTACCAATTTGCTGTGAAAAACAAAATTCTACACTCAGTGATAGTCAAGGTTTTCAAAACTCATATGTGATTTCTGGACATTCCCCTATGTTACCTGGGTATAGATACATGCAAACGATCAGCTTTGCTTATTTTTTCTTATTTTATACATAAAGGAAACACTTCTGCCCCTGCAGCCTGAACTTGAGCTTTCTGCCTCTCAGTCAATCTTGCTCTAGAGGCCTGACTCCACACAGAGAACAACTGGGGTCAAAGTGAGTGAATATTGGTTTCCTTGGGTTCTGCCCAAGACCACTTAACCTTCATCTGCAAACAGGTACATCCTCACAAGTAATTACTCTCCTACAGCCTCTTGTGGTGGGTTCCAGGAGCAAAGAACAACTGTACATCTTCAATATTCGACAGGAAGGCCTTCTATGAGCTACAAACCAGTTCATTACAGGGCATGTTTCTGAATACAATGAAGCATCCTTTAAAGCCTTTGAAGGAACTCAAAGTGAGAGCAGAGATGCTCTTCTCACTCTAAGCATGAGAAGGCCCCTCATTTCATTTCTGTTGCATAGAAGTAGCCAGGTGCATGAAAGGAAACACTGACAGCCCCCTTGACCAAATCTGTCAGCACACGAGCAGCCTCCTCTAGGCTGCACAGGATGAGAACATATGCTGCAATTGTATTTGGGGGAAAGAACTCGTTCAGATCAAAATACAAACATTTTTGTTGCTAAATGTTATGTTACAAGTTAAAACTTTATGTTACAAGTTAAAGCTTTATTAATGTAGCTTAAAAACAGCAAGAAAAAAAACCCTAAAAAAGCTCCTAGCAATACTTATTTAGCGGAACACCCGTAAAAAACATTTATTTTAGGAAGAGGCTATGTAAGGTTTCAAACAACTCTCTTAAGTGAACAGGAAAAAAATTCTAGCACAGTGTTAAAAGTGTCCCCTTTGGTAAGAAATATCACATGGATGACACTTTAAAAACACATGAATGCAAACTGCATTAGCCACTTCTTCTAAAAATAAGGTTTCAAGGACAGTTATTTGCCGAAGTAATATCTCTGCCAGCATTTAAACCATTTTGAACCACTATTAAAGCTGAAGATGTCTGACCTTGGGTAAAATTATTAAGCATGAATGTTACTTTGCAGACAGGATTAGTGCTGCAGGATGTGGATTGAGTCTATCAAAAAAAGAGTGACATCTTTTTCAGGTGTCTGGAAACAGAAGTCCAGATCCTACAACCACTCAAATATTTTTAAACCACAGCAATAAACAATAACAGGGTGTACCTTGTTAAACTACTGGGATGTAATCCCAAATAGAAAACTGCTCTAGAGTTTAGTGGGAACTGGGTGAGAACCTTAATGTTCTGAAAGGCAAGAATAAAAAGCAAAAGATTTTAAATCATCACTTGTTAACAAACACCTTTAAAAATCGCATTAAACTGTAACTTACGCATTTTCAAGTCTTATGTGCCCATGAGTAGTAAGAGTGTGGCTGGGTAAAGCATCCTTCCAGGAGAAGCAAACCTGGCAAAAACCAAGACCAAAGAGAGAGGAAAACAATATTAGTGGATTTTTTCCAGATCTCACTTAAAAACATCACCGAACTATGTAAATAGAGATTTCTTAAAGGCTTATAAATTTATTAAATTTGAGGGTCTTTTCACAGGTACAGCATGAGGTAAACTAATAATAAAAATATTGACCCTTATTCATCAAAAGACATCAGTTATCTACTCCACAGCAGGAATGCATTTCAGCTTCACAAGAAAGTATTCTAAATTTTTCTCTGTGTTTACTGTTGGAGACAACACAAGCCACAAAACCCAAGGTTCCACTACTTTTCAGTTACAAGAATTATTCCTATAAGTTCTATAAGAGCCAAAACAACCCTCCAGGTATATTAAGCTTTCAAGAATCCAGAATTTAAAAAACAAAATAATTTACATAATTTTGGAATGTTTTTAATTTGTTAACTTATGTTCGAAAATGTTAAGTCAGATTTCAGATCTTTCCCCCAAACTATATTAGGTATATCAATAAATAACAAATATGGAAATCAGCATTCCCATAATAATTTAAAATCAAGAACTTTAAGATGAATATCTAATGAGGTAAAATGTGATAATATGCAAGTAACTGACTGGAATACTCTAAGAGTTGTGTACAGTGCACATATTTTCTTCATTATCAGATTTTTCCAGAAAAAAGTCTTTGTTCTGAGACACAAAACTAATGCTTATTATACTGTTTTTCAATTAAGCCATATCTTAAAATCCAGTAATTATTGAAAAATGGACAGTCTCCAGTGTGGGTACCCTTGAACTCTACAATCAACAATTGACATTGATTATATTTTTTCTTTCCAGAAATGTTTGTTCCCAGGCTCCAAATCTCCAAATTTAGCATGCTGGTCAAATTGTCTCACTCGTTCAATCCTTTTGAGCACAAATATAAAAACCCCACAAATATTTTCACCAGAAGTTAAACATTCCAAGCTAAAGTACATAAGGTAGCATTTAAATACTTATTTTCTCATCAGACTATTTATTTCTTAAATCTAAGTGATGATGATTATTTTTGGAGAGCAAGGAAAGGCTGGAAATGGTTTTCCTTCCAGCAGCTATCACTAACTCAACACATGTCTTTCATTTCAAGTTACCATAGGCACTGCAACTAAAGACCATAGAAAAACCTCCAAGCTCCACTTTGAGATGGTTCACCAGAACACAGATTTCTCTAATCTTAACTCCCAGGGCAAAATCCTGGTCCCAGTGAACTGAATGGTAAAACTGCCACTAGTGCAGCAAGGTGAGGAGTTCTCTCAAATGGTCCTCGGGAGACCTTTTGAAGCCTCTGCACCAGCTGCTCTTTGAAATGCACTTTTCTTTAGCAACATTTGCCCCAGCCCATTCATCTCTTTGTGGGACTGAAATGATTTAACTGTCTCTGACGAATTAGTCCTCTTAGCTACCCATTTGTTAACAATCCCTTTGCATTATTCCCTTCAGACGACACTGATGGCCTTATTAGAGTCTAGCACCCAAACACCACAGGAGGACACTGCACATCTGTGACACACACTTGGCATTCAGAGCTCTTCGTTCATCAGAGCCGATTTCCCCGCCAACAACGCTTATGTGGTCTCCTCTTTCACCTGTGCTTCAGAGGAGAGTCCAACTGATGTGGGTTCTCTGTGCCCAGATATCACCGTACTTTTCCCAGCCCCCTGAGGTGAGACATTGCTGCCTTCACCGTTTGCCTTCCTGTATGTTTGCCCAGGGATCTCGGCCACATAGTGCCACGGGCAGTTCAATGCTTTCCATACTTCGCTGCAAGAAGCCACTCAGTTCCTGCAGGATTCAAAGACACCTGAAAAAGAAAGAACATATCCATTAGTGAAAAGCTCCTTAAAAATTAAAGCCTCCCTGCAATGGTCCCAACACCAAAGCATCTTGAATGCCATACCTTACAAGTTAAGGAGAGTGCACAAATAGTACTTTCTGCCTTCAGACACCTACGTCTGTCAACTCTACAGGAGGATGCCCATCCCCGAGACAATGATTTTATGTTTGTAATGATGTCCTTATGTTCTAGTAATTATAGAGAGGAGAAGGTAGAAAGGAATCTGACTTTTATATCAAACTGCATCAAAACCAGTGATGTCAACTATTAATATTCATGTCAATATTTCAATTGAGGGGGAAAAATCATAACAGATTTGTCACAGAATAACAGACTAAGCTAGAGGCAACAGCTTAAAATGACTGGCTTGCAGGTTAGTCATGGTCTGAACATAGATTTTCTTCCAAGTAGGAATAAGAAAGCTTTTCCAATTCTATTTACAGTTTTTAAGTATTCAGAAACAGACTCTACTAAAGAACAGTGGAGGGGTTTTTTTTTCCATTCTAACCAAGAGATTCACAAGGGATTTATGAAGGCTTTTTTAAAAACAAGTAAGAGTCATCAGGTCACAGATACCAAGTTGCCCTCTTACTGCAAAAATGTTAACGCTACTGGTCTACAAGAATATCAAGAATTTCCTCATTGTATCACACATAAGGCAAAGTCTTTATATTTATAGTTACAGGATAATCAGCTACAGAGCCCTCCAGTATTTTAGAGCAAAAGCACATGAAATTTTTAGCAGCCATTCTCTGGAGGGAAATTTCAAGGTGACTGGAACAGTACTTTATATGGATAAAAAAATGCTTATAATTAGAACAGACTTCTTAAATGATCATTTTGCATTTCTTATTCATATTAGCAGATCGCAGAAAAGGTACAGATACTTGAAAAGACAAAAATTATAATTGATGTTATTTTAATTCTGTATTATAAAGAAAGAACCTACATCATTCTGTTTGGAACTAAAAAGCTACACTACTTCCTCCTTGAAAGTCTGGGCAGCTATGGAGAGCTATTCACTATTAAGTAGGTAAAACCACACGCAGAGTTCACAAGTTATTCCTGACTTTCACGGCAGCACTTGAAGATTATCACACAAGATGAAGCAAATGAGTTTATGCAAGAACTTGAGAAGTGAAGAAGACTTAGACAAAAGGGGTAAGGACAAGCTCTCATCCATGGACTGCCACATAAAAATTGTGAGTTTTGAGTCATTCCTACAGGAGTTTGTGACTGTGACCTTGCTCTTGGTGCAGCCAGGGTTTTAGCTGTGGTGTCCACCTGCCTAAGTACCCTCGGACAGCTGGAGCTGCTTTCCTTCAGCTGATAACCAAAGCTCTTCCTTCAGTCTCCCCAAACAGAACCAGAAGATGCAACCTACCCCCAGCACTGCCTGCATGCACAGGAGAGAGGGGCAGACCCTCCACAGAGTTCCAAGATATGATTATTATTTCACCAGTGTGAAGTTAGCTGGACCCTGGCCAGTCTCAGCCTTGGTCTACCACACATCCACCACACAATTGTCTCTGCCACTGCTTCATTAAAGAGTGTGAGACCGATGTGGGGCCTGGCCTGTCTTTGGATATTATTTGCATAGGAGTGTGTTTGTGTACCTGGACCTGGCACTGTTTATGCTGTCCCCCTACTAGAAGGGAGAAACCAAATGAATTTCTGTTTCTGGGATTGTTAGTCTAGCCAGTCTAGCTTGCTTGCTTGTTCTATTTGTGATTTTGTTTTGTTTTAAAACAATAATGCTATTAAAACTCACTCTATAAGCAGAGATATAGAGAAAACTGTATAGACCCTGATCAAGATGTTCTCAATTTCATTGCAGCAGGCTTTGAATTACCTTTTGAAACTGGAGCCAATCTTCACAGATATTCACATGAAATCTCTTTAACTGAAGAAATGAGTAGTAAGGTACAAACCATATCTTCTTACAAAATCCAGTATGAAGTAGCACACGAAACATTTATAGGAAAACACAAGCAAAAACTGCATTAAGTGGGTAGGTAATTAGCAGACCTGGAAAAGGGCTTGCGTGCCTAAAAGCTTATCTATTGTCTCTCTTCCCAGTTATATTGGTCAGTGTAATAAGAGAACCTGCTTTTCCCTACAAATCTTCCCTTGCAGAAACTGGGACTTATCTTTTTCTAGAATGTGCTGGTCATTCCCCCCCCAGATACCCCTTTGTAGTTTGTGCAGATCATCCAGATTAAGCCCTACCCTATCACATTGAGGAGAAAATGAAATTTTCAGTGAACTTGCAATAGTAGGCAGTCCTGAAGACATGGGATACAATGACCACTGACTCTCATCCACTGAACCAGGTTTTTCCTAATAAAATTTGTGTGCCAGCAACTAACTAGATTAAACAGAGAGAGGAAAAACAGAGTGGGCAGAAAAACAGATGTTATGGTAGATGTTTGAACAGGAATGCTTACGTTGGAAAGTGTGCATGATCTTACACAAGGGTTAGAAGATGGAAACTAGTCTAATTTACTATGGAGGATAAAAAAGGGGACAGAACATCAATACTGTCTGTTTAGGCTACTTCCCTTCCTTGCCTTGAGCTTGCTTTACACACCTGCAATTAGAAGAAAAAAATATATATATAATGAAGCTTTTGAAATCAAGTATATGCCTCAGTTTTACTGCAAACTTTCTGATGCATCACCCATTATCATCAGAAGTGTAGGACAGAATTCTCAGGCAGTGAAGAAAATCTTTTTGCTTTCATTGTTTTGCTGTGTCTGCCCCTGCAGCCTCACTTAGTCTCTCTAATTACTGCATTATTTAGTAATAGTGGGAAGATTATTCCTATCAGTCACTGTTCAGTCTAGGTCCTTAATAAGGTGTTACTGGCAAGGCTGCAAAACCTGAGAGTATGAGCTGAGGTATCAGGATCCAGTTGTCTCAATACATTCCTTGTGTAAAGAGTTGGCAATAAAACACCTCAAACTTAGGAGCAATGCTTGAACAAGAAAACGGTTTTCAGAAAAGTACTCAAAAAATAGTTTCCCCACGCAGTTCCACCCGATTATCATTACTCTGAACTTCAATTATCATTACTCTGAACTGCAGAACTTTCGAACAAAGAAACAAATACTTGAGTGATGGCAGAAGGGGGGGGCTTATTTATTTATTTATGCATTTATTTTTTATTACAGGAAGTTCCTAGAATGCAGGCCAGTCATTTCAGTCTACCAAAAAAAACTCGTGAGTAAATAGCTGCTGTAAGATTTTTCAGGATTTATGAAAGCAACTGTCCTCTACAAGAGTTAGGTTAGAAGGAAGAGGAGACCATTCACAGTGCAGCAGCAGGAAAACATGACTGGGGTCACTGGCACTCTAACCTAATACACAAGTCTGTTACTTGGCAATCAACAATCGGTGACTGCAGTCATAATCGCTGTCCTGGACCTGCATATTGCGCAAAGTTGTCCATAAAATTACTCATGTGCATAAGTAGTCCCACATGGTTCAGTGGGTCTCATTACGTAAGTGTTAGCAGGGGTCTGAGGTCAAGATACTGCATTCCTCAGACCAGACAGATTCCCACTGAAGTGATTAGGAGCGCTTCATTTGCCAAACAGAAAGAATTCCACAGGTATTTGTTTGAAGTGTGATACAAATTTACTTTGGCCATAGTTCCACCTTTCTTTAATGTTTGCAGGAAAAAGTTATTTGAATGCACAAGTATTTACTGACCAAAGCAAATTTCAGACCCATATTTACAAGTATTTGCACCAGAAGTTTTTGTACACAGCTACCACCAAACACGTTATCTGACCAAACTATAAAAAACCCTCAAATTTCTACCTCTCACACTCAGATTTACTGATTTACGAGAGCATGTGAGATTTTTGTTAATTTTTAGACGTACAAAGAAATCGTTGCCCATTTGCAACTGAAAGGTAGACTACACTCATTGCCAGGTAAATCATTTCGTTTGATCCCTGAGCAAGCGCTGCAACAGTGAAACGTGGTAAATTAAGCAGACATGTTGCTAAATCAGCAGCACGGGATTGAACCCTTAGTGCTATTCACTACAAATGGATCTGCTGGATTACGGGTCATTAGTTCAATCACTTTTACCAAGTACAACCAAATTGGAATGTTATTAAACATTTATCTTCAGGGGCAGATTTACTGTGAAGATAAGGAGATTGTAGAGACTCTCCATTAGCACTGCCTATTCCAGCATGCATTCCTGTCATAAGCACCTTTCATTCATAAAAATATCTCTGGAACCCAAAGCATCCCACAGATGTCTGCCTTTACATGCTGGTGACCGCACCCTGGCACCCTCCAGACGCTGACCAGTTAATTCCAATACACATTTTTTGATAACCTCTTGCTGCTTTCCTACTCCACGCTGTCGAGACAGCAGAAGCAAACCCTTTTCAAAAAATACAAACTAAAAGCTGGATTTCCCAATATTCAGTCAGTCCTAAGGACACCGAGTCACTGAGCTTGCCCCTAGCAGCGGCCCACACAGTATTTTTTGAAAAACAGAAAAACAATTATTTAGAAATGTAATTTCTATCTCCTAAGGGTTTACTTTAACTCTTACCCCGGGCCTCCGCATCTGACTCCTGTCTCCTTCCGCCCCTCACACTGGCTAGAGCAGGAAGGCAGGGCCTGTCTGTGAGCCCCTCGGATGAGTTAGGAAAAAAACTAGACAAAGAAATTCTCACAGATCTTTTGCAAGTCCTAATCGCAGGCCTTGAACAGGCACCCCAAACAATCTGGAACACAATAGCACCGACAAAAGTGGCAGAAAGATCTCCCTTTACAAGAATGGTTTGTCAGAGAAAAAACATTAGGAGAGAAATGGGAACGATTTACCACGTTGGCTGTAGAGGGGAATGGCTCTTACTAACTGAAGCTGAAATCATCAGGGACTTGCTAAGAAAAAGGGTAGACACACAAAAGCCGTTTCCTTTCCCTCTGAGGTCAAT